GAAGAACTGTTCAATAATGTCCACCACATCCTGTCTGCCAACTGTATGGTGCTTCAACCCCTCCACCAAGATTCCAAGCAATCCTTTTGGCTTCCGCTTCATAACTTTGCAAAGCATAGCGAACACTTGTTCTTCAGGGTCATCATGATGCATTCTTATCGTGTTGATTCTGTCTGAATCCAAACCAAGCTGTGTGGCCAGCGACTGCCAGCACGATGTTAGTTTCGGCTGCAGTTCACGGAAGAGTTTCTCGTAATCAACTGCACTCATGACCGGGCTTCCAGATGCAAATTTGCCATTTCTAGGCCCAGACATACTGTTAAGGAAGTACGAGCGAGGTCTTTGTTCAGCGCGATAAAGGCCGAGGGGATGTAATTTGAGAGTCGTCTCAAGTTTATCTCCCAAGGGATTAAAAATTAATATTCATAAGCGATAATGAGGGGCGCCATTTTCAAAATTTTTGGCGCATGCGCAAACACACCTTCACGAGCGGCCAATCGTGATCTGCGTGTTCGCCCATACTCCATAAACCAGGAGTATGTGGTCCGCCTTGCGACCCGTTATGCCCTTATCGACTGGACCTTCCCCCCCCCGGCTTGTTTTGGCGGGAAGTGACGTAACATAAATTTAGCCAATCAGAGCCAAGATTTGACGGCAACCGGGGAATCCCCTCCAGATCCTTCGGCTGGTTTCCGTTCGCAGTCGTGTACGTACTCTGTGCTGGGCCCAATTTTGGAACCATCTCCAGCGCTACAAACCAAAGTAATCCTTCTTCTCTCTTCCGTGAATGGTTGACAGACTTCAGTCAGACATCATAGGTAAAACCAGGATTTTTGGTAATAATACATGTAGTAGTAAATCTGTGCTGGAAATGGAGGGAAGGTGGGGATGACCTGCCCAGCGCTTTAAGAGCCTGCGTGGAGCCCCCCCCCCGAGAATTTAATGACAGTGAATGCACAAAAGATTTACTTGAACCTATCCTAGAGGAAGAAAGAAATGCCCTCTAACGTGACGTCATATGCAGGGGGCTATTGAAATTTAAAGGGAGGGGTGCTACACAACATACACTATGGGGGAGATGTTCATACATGTATGTAATAAAATGTGTATCAAATTCATCACACCAGAATGGCATATTTATGGCTTTTCAAAATTGTTTTCCTTTTTATTTATATCTTGCAAACATACCTGTCAAAAAAAATTAGTTTATTAGGAAATCCTAGAAATTGTTCATAGTCCACTTTCATTTTTGTGGGGTTCATCACATAAAGGGGGACGGTTCAATATCCCATCCCCATGCATCTAAAATGTGGGGGATTATATTTACCCTCGTGGGTCATCAAATGTACTTGGTCCAAGTAACTTGGACTCCACCAATTGCCATCAAGGATGTCCAAATGTTAAAAAATACAACTCATGGAGTCCAAATCACCAGGTTACCAGTAACTAAGCAAAGATGCCATTCCCCTCCATGCCCTTGTTCATATGCCAGCTTAAGAAAGTAAGTCATACCATGGCCATATGCCCTGTAATCCCTGGCAAGCACCTGGTCAATCATGACTCAAAAAGAACCTGATTTTGTGACCGTTATTTGGTTAAGCAGGAAGTGCTTATATTTTTCATGTTTAGCAAAAAAGGAGGAACCAAGTGTACTGTTTGTTACCTGTTGTAGTATCCTGCACTCTTGCAGGTCCACTCCTGACCACCATAACTCCACCCAGCAACAGTGCCCTTTTTAGAATGTCATTGTACCTCTGCCCTCTTCTGGATCCTAAAATGGCCCCACCTGCCATACATCAATCATTGTACCCCATTGGACCTAGCCCCATGTATAGAGTGTACATGTATATAATAAAGTTGTACTCCTGCATCTGACGCACAATAAACGAAGCAACCATCAGAACAACTCAAGCTTGTGTCGAGCACACGATATTCTACCTGTCAAAATAAGTATGTATCTATACTGAGCATGCTTAGCAGACAATACGGTAAATTAAATTGGGTCCAGCAATAAGGATTTGATTTGTCCCAACTGTATATGGTATCCAGACAATCCCAACTGTAGTGCTGGGCTTGCCCAATTATGGTCAGCAAATTTTTAAAAAAATTGCCCCGGATTTCTCCATTTTTTTCCACCCACAGTAACAATTCATCGAAAGTATGCTTAACTGTGATATTTCATCCATAGCATTAACAAACCTAGGTGATTATAGCATGCATTACCAACGTAAATGAAATGATATTGGCACATGCAGGCATTCTATGCTATATCAGCCTGGCCTGACTGTAACATGATTCCATATTCTTTCAACCCAAAAGGAATCAAGCTGACTTTTGAACATGTTGATTGATTTTGCCTCAGCCACTCATAAACTGGGAGGCTGTTCCATTCGTTGATCACTCGGAAAGAAAAAAAAAAGTCTGCAGTTCAAGCCCTTTTTATGGGCTGGCTTGGTCAACTTGTAGCTGTGATCTCTGATTACGGTTCTTGTGAACAATTTGCCTTCATCAGTACCTTCTAGGCCTTTCAGGATTTTGAAGACCTCTACCAGACCCCCTCTTGGTCTCCTTTTCCTGACTGTAGAGGTTGAGTTCAGCTTACCCCGCAATGTGGGTTTTTGATCTCAATGCAGGAATTAGGAATGGCCCTTTGTTGAATTCTCAAGCATCTATTAGACTGATCATCAATGGGAGTAACGAGGATTCTGGCATGAATGCTTTCTAACAGCTACTGCACACAAAACTCCCAGAGCAAACCTTGCATCAGACTCTGCTAGCAGTCAATATTGACTGAAATAGAACCACGGTAGGTTGGGATCAGTGGGCTAAACAGCCTCACAGGTACTTTACCTGAACTCTTTGCCAGTCATCACCGCCATTGAAGGCTTGCAGGTGTTGAATATTAGTTCAGTTATCGAATGTTTATTTGTTTTTGTTCAGATATTCATAGGTGTAATACAATAACTGAAAAAAGAAAACTCAGTTTGATTTATTGCCTTTCAAAAAGAAGTCTAGTTCTGCTTCTTGTTACCAATTGATCTTTAATTCTGTGCTTGTCCCAAGCCCAAATCATGCAAGATGACATTGGCATAGAGTTCATCCAGGAAAGGCACAAAATTTTAAAAAACACCTACTGATACACATTTTTAAATATTTTTAATTATTTTGCCTTACAGCCCTCCAATATGGCTTCTCAAATTGCCTGTGAGCGTTTTTTCCGCCAGCTGCAGAGGAAACTATCATCAGACTGGCAGGAACTAGCCACTTATTGTGACTTCACATCCGATGAAATTGATGCCATCAGGCATTCAAACAGCAACCCAGAAGCGCAAGTATTTAAAATGCTGTGTGACCTGCGGAAGCGGGAACCCACTGATTGGGCCAGAACCTTGATGGAGGGTCTGGTGCAAGTTGGCAGAGAAGATGTGAAGCAAGATGTACAGCAATTTTTGGATGAAGGTAGACATTTGTATAATTGTTGAGCCAGAATTGATAATCATTACGTATAGGCACTCTTGCTTTTTTTCTCTTTGTTTGCTTCTTACCAGACATTTATGAGTCCAAAATTACCTTTGCATGGCTCAACTTACCACGAGGGGTGACTTTACGGCAGTCAATTTTTAAATTTTGCGTGTGTCAGTCAAATGGTAAACACAGTGAAATACTGAGTGTATCCAGCAGGGGTGCAAGTTGCCCCGCCCCCTCCCCCATAGGCCTATTGCCTTTGTTCCTTCTCTTTCTTTCTTGAGTAGTTGAAACCGAATAAAATAAAATGGTACGACCACTGTGGCAGGTTGAGGATTCTCTCAACATGAGAAAAAAAAATGGATTTAAGATCCCCCCACCTAGAACCTGGATACCCCATTGCCACAGTAAAGGCAGCATGTTTGTGCTTGACTTGGCTAAAATAGGTACATCATAATATCACTTGGCTCTTGAGGTAGAACGTGTACACATGCACACAGAGAAGCAAGATCCAGGGGTGAGACTTCTCAGCTTTTTAGCTGATTTCAGCTTTTTTTTGTTTTGGATTGCAGCTTTTTTCCTCACTAGCTGTGTACAAAAGTATTGGAGATTTTCACAGTTCAGCTTCTTTATTCCTTTTTTCAGCCATCTTCAGCTATTTTTATCATTGGTCAATCTCACCCTTGAAGGTCATTGTAAACAAGAAATGGTCCAACTTGCCCCATTTTCCTCTTTAAAATAATGACAGTTTTGTATCAGTGCAAAGGCGTAATGTTCCATGAGGTATAACTTTTTGTCACAGGCCGCTCTGTTCAAAAACATTTGCAATATGTACGTTTTTGTTATCAGT